TTTGTTTGTTTGTTTGTTTTTGTTTTGTTTTGTTTTAGCAATTCTATTTTTCTAAAAAGAAACATTTTCCCAAGAGTAAATCTTTTCCTGCTCACTCTCCATTAACATAAAATTAGATCAAGAACCAAATTCATTGGCATTCTTTTATTCCCTTGGAACCTGAACTATTCCTCAATTTTGCTTTCTTTAAGAAACGTGGAAGGAAAGGAATGAATATCAAGTGCTGCTCACGGTTCCATAGCTTAAATTCTTGAAGACGTTTCACCAGGGTTTTCATCAACCATAATTTTCCTTATTAACATCCACTGTCTATACATCTTCTTCTTTATAGCACTCAAGAGTCAATTTCTTTCAATATGCACATTAGAAATTTAACAACATCCTGCCAAAAGAGCACACAGTCTTAAAAGGTTTCTCCACCTAAACAGATGTCCTTTGCAAACCTTACAAGCAGACCTGTTGAGGAAACATGGTATCCAACACAAAATTTGAAATATGTATTAAAATTTTCCCAATGCAACCTCAAGGAAAGAGGAAGAAAAAAATTGAGAATGTGAACTTTGAAAATATATGTTATACAATTTATTTAATAACATTCACCACAATTATTTTAGGGAAAGTGGGTGGGTATCAAAGGAAATTAATGTATTAAATAATAATCAAAATAAAATAAAATGGGGGAAGGAAAGAAAACTAATCAATGTCATTTAAAGATATGTTGCTATATTGATGGAGAGGAAAAGGTGCCCAGGAGACTTGAGGAGAGAGAACTATAGTTACAGTAGAAGATAATGGCCCAGCATGGTCTCTGCTTTTCTGGACTTCGTGTTAACTACTGTGGGCTCAGAAAGTGGCTTAATGACTTTTCCAGGATTTGGTCTGGCTCTTTATCAGTTTACTATAACAAGAACATAAGCCAGGAAAGCCTGAAAAATTGCTGCAGTAAAACATTCCCTCCTGCTGTGCTGCTGTTCGCAACTCTGACCACTGGCCTTGGCCTTTAGAGTTTATGCCTGGACATAAAGTTAAAGGACAGCTCCTAAAGGTCAAACAAGTCAACAGTAGTCACATGTATATGTATGGACATATACATTTTCTCTTGCTCATGCTGTTCAGCTTACCTTAATTGAATTTGACAATAATAAATCACACGTTGAAACTGTATAGCTCACCTAAGGAATGGCAATGGAAATGGTGAATATACCAGGAGCCAAAGTTCAGGAAATGTCATATTCACATAGAAATGCTTTAAATTTTTCTCAGAGCTTTATTATCTTTTTTAAAGAAAAGTTCCAGACCACCCAGTACACAAAGTCCATTTTGGAAACTGTACGGAAAATCATCACTTTAATTCAGCTTTTGCCCCTGTTGTTATACTATAGCTTTTAAGTCTATAAACAGAGAAGGAACTGAACTTTCAAAAAAAGAAGAGCAAAACAGATGAACTCATTCTTCTCTCTCATCCTTAGGAGCTGATCACACCCTAGTGGAGAGGATTTGTGAAATTTGAAAGGAAACTATATTGTGGCCTTATTTTCTCCTCCCCGTCCCTATTACTCCACACAGTCCTATAAGAAGAGCAGTTCCTGGTGTCCTTGTAAGACTACAGTTCCCCCCCGCCCCCCACCCCGCCACCAAAAAAAAAAAGAAGAATATAGCTTCTACAATCTCGTTTCTCTTCGGCCTAGCAGAAGCCTATTTAAAGAAGTGTTTCCATGTCATCCCAGAGCCACATGCACTCCACCAGGCCTGCCCCATGCCACCTTTTAAGTACACCTTGTGCCACAAACCTTACAGACTAAATCATTTACTATATTTTTTCTCTAAAGGACAAATAGGAAGAGATATGAAAGTCCTTCAGGAGCAGCGAAGTGTAAAACAGGCTGGGAAGTCC